CATTATTACGAGGATTTGTGGATTCAAAATGAGTTTCTAATTGGAAAGGATTCGTTCATCCCTTCACTTCAACTAACTAACTAACTATTTATGTGAGTCCAATTTTTAGTTGGTTTGATCTCGGCTTTGAAGGTGGCTTGGTGACTTGGAGCAAAAGATGATGATCATATACTTCTTTTCTCCTAAGTATAGCATAGAGCCTCTACAATGAACTTGAGTTTGACTTTATTTTGAACATTTATGGTAATATCATTACCAAATTAAATTTAAATTTAACTTGATTATATTAGTTACTTTCATCAGGCTGTCAATATACTTCTTCGAGGTTTAATTGCATTGCATACTGCCATCTTTAGAGACATTCATTAGTGAGGTGCCTAAAGAACTATTCAAATGCAGGCCGTCTCTTACCTAGAGAACAGACACCTACCTAATTACAAATCGGCTTCCAAAAAAATACCAGGACTTGTTGAATTCATTGTCCCTACTAGACCTCCTCATCGCGACAAGAGTAAATTGCTAGATTGAATATTTCTGAGACTGTATAATGTATGATATATCTAATATTATATTTTTAGAATATAATAATATGATATGCGAGTATTATAATTATAATATATTAAAAAAAGTATTACATATTAGAATAAGTATATCAATTTTTTCCCTTATTTTTTAATTTTCCATTTACTCGTATAATTGAAGTTTATGAATGTCGAACCTAACTTTTGCCACAAAATGAATTCATAAAGGATGTTGTCCTGGGTTTAAATCAAAAATATATAAATTATAAATGATATGAAGAATATTTATAAAAAAAATTATTTCTTTGAAAGCTAAATACGCACCTCTAATTACAATACAACGCAATACATTAACCTCTAAACTGCAAGATGTTATAAAAAATAGAATTCTACAACTCATATTTCTCCGTTACTTCAAAATATTCCCACAAAACACCAACATTAGCCACATCCTCACAGTTATTAAATTAATTGATTCTCTACAAATGAACTTCGAGTAGACGCAAAGGCCAGGATTTGAAACAAAGTTCGCATGCAAATTTGCAAAACATACGCATAAACACACTTCAGAAAATTTGCCACATAAACCAAATTCAATTGAAATCGAATGCAGCACTCGACAAAGGACGAAGCATAAAGGACGAAGGAAGGATGAAATCCGTAACTAACATTCGAACACTTAAAAGGTACAACCCCATAAATTAAAACATTAACACAAAATCATTAAAAGACTTCAAATCCGAAATTACACCCGGGAAAGTTAGAGCGTTTGTGTCTCTTAAGTAGCATGGGTAATTTGATAATTCTCACAAGAATCCTATGCACAAAGGACTCTCAAGTCCTCAAGTCAAATGAAATTGTAATGAAAATAGAATAAAATCACCATGTAAACAGGGTGTAACATAAAAAACGAAAACAAACAAAACAATAAAAGGACATCAAGAAAGGAGCGTGCACGAAGAGGGTTGCTTTTGCATGTGGCATGAAAAATCAGTGCGCGTGAAGGCTACAGGGTTAACTCTGGGCTTTTGAGCGTCTATTGTTGTTAAAGTAGCATTGTCAAGGGGTGCAGAAGTCAATTGTGTTATATGAGGCAAGCATGTGTGTATACATATATGTGTTTTGTCTGTGTGTTTGTGAATGTGTTCACAGTCAGGCTCAGATACTCACAAACTGGTGCTTAAAGATGCCAGCTTGAGGGGTCTTCAACGCAAAATGCGCAACTTTATTTGAAACGTTTGTGCTACACCCATAAGTGCAGCACTCATGTGATTTTCTTTTAATTTTTGATAATTTGCAAATGTTAAAAGTTTTAAGTTCTAACTACTTCAGCACGTCAAGTGCACTCCACGAATCCATTTAAAGAGTTCTGAAGCTGATTCGGAGGCAGAAGTTTAAGTGCACTCAAAGTATGTAATAGAAATTTATGAAGTAAATGTCACAGTTTTGCAACAATTTTCCACGGAAAAGTGTGTGAAATAGTATGATTGAGAGGCAAAAATTAATAATTTTTAATTATGAAAATAATCAGAATCAGAGAATCAGAGTTTGAGAGCGAGAAAGAATTCCCCGTTTGACATATCAATTTAATTTAAATTGACTTAAAGAGCTATTGACTTCTTATCAAAAATATTAACGAGTAGTTTAACATGATTCTGGAACTAACATAAAAAGTCCAAGTTTTTTTTTTTTTTGAAATAAAAATGGAATTAAATTTTGCTAAAAGATTTTTGCAAATTGCGCATATCAATTGCAATCTTCTGCTGTATGTACGGGTACTCGAATTTCAAGTACTATAGTAGATTGTTATATTGCGATGACAGCTGGCGACGCGTACAACTCTTAAGTCATGTTTAAGAGTTTGTCATTTTCTTAAGTATGTAGCGCATAGCCTCTTATGAAAGTGCATTAAATATTTCTGTTACTGACACATATTCGGATTTAACGGTCGTTTAAATAAATTTGATTTGAGGCACAAAGATATATAAACGGAGAATCTGGTTGGACAGTTCTAATTTGAAAAAAAAAAATATCAGAATTGTATGTTGTGACAAAAAAACCAGTCTTCTGGTAATTGGTTAAAAAGTTTCTTCCAAATTTAAGTAAATTATATTCTAAGATTCTCTTGGTTCAAGTGATAACTCTGCATAAATTCACTCTTACCTTTCACACCACTTTGTTGCTAAGTACTCGTTATTAATTGATTGCCCGGTTATTCGTCTACACAAAAATTTTGAATCCAGTCTGTACGGCAAAACAACGATTCAAATTCATCGGGATTATTAAAGTGCAGCTTACCTAAAGTAATCATCAGATTTTCATTTAACTAAAGTATGGTGATAGGGTATTCTTTCTTAGTAAAATGGAACTCACATTGTTGGTAACCATCAGCAGCATCCATCATCTACCATCATCATGACCTACTTTAATATCTTAAGAGGATGGGTCTATCTGAGGAAGGAAAATGTCGTTTCTGCTTGAAGGTGAGTAAGACCTGTAGTTACATTATCTAAAGCTCTCTGGCTTTTTGATCATTTGCAAATGTAAATAGTTTTAAATTCTAACTAGGAAACTGCATGGTTGCGAGTTTCTATCCTCGGCTGAAGTTAGAATACTGTCAGCAGTAATATTTTGACTTTAATTCCAAAAAAAAAGTGTCTTTAGTTTAAGACACTAAAGCATAAAGCATTTTAAAGCACTAAAGCATTTTAATAAACTTAAAGTTTGTGTATTTACTGTGCAGTTACGTTACCATTGCACTAATTGTGCAATTTTTAGATATTTCGTCAAGTGGATTATAAAGAAATTGAATTGGAAGCGATTTAATTACGACTTCAGTAAATTGAAGATCGTTTCTTTACTGGCCTAGGAGATATGACAAAAGTGAAGTTGTCATATCTACACTGATTCTGTAGACATTGCCACGATCTTTATTTCTTTATCTTCGTGTGACTACAGATTTCGTGACTTGAATTCTTGAAGATCGTTTCCTTACTGGGCTGACATAGATGACAGCTTTTGTGATTTATCGTCCCACATCTCTTTAGTTTTATCTGTAAAACTATTTATTACACTATTATCAAATAGTGTAACGAAGATAATACACGAAGATGATAACAGTTATTGTCACACGCTTCTTCCAGGTAATTGCAAGGGCACCGTTATAGGCAAAAGATACCTCCAAGTGGAAGTGCTGATAATTGTATCAGTAATCGTTTTTTCAACCTACCCCAACTCAGCGTAGCCACAAGCTAATGATTCCAAGAACAGCCATTCATTCAGTATGAATAATACTTTAAAATCAGTACTGATTGTTAAGTTTTTATACCACCTATAGAGTATGATGATAAGTCTATATTTTGTCTTGAACCGCCAATATTTTCTGCATTGCACTGCATTGCAAACTTCGTGACAAGAACATAAAGACCGCAACTGTTCTCACAAGTATATCTAGATTACAGTAGTGTTTAAAAAATATTGAGACCCCTTAAAATTATGGTTTCTTTTTAACCGTCTTTCATGTATGTGGAAAAATTAATACTTTCCTAACGCAATTGCAATCGAATCTACCTACATATTAAACATTGTACCTGTTTAATATAATGTATGTTGATCCTTTTGACTCTTTGATAGCTGGGGGTACTACAGGGTCCCACCCATCTCATTGACTAATTTATATATTGCCTATAAGCTTCATGATTATTCAGTGATTGATCTAAAATCTGCGTACCTCCCCGTGCGGAGAGTGCTTACTCTAAGATTAGTGGGAAGTAGGATAGCCTGTCAATTTTCGCATATAACTTCAGGGCTCTGTCCCTTATGTATTTTTTTATCGGGTCTATTCTAAGGTCTCTTAGCATGTCGTTTATGCGGATGTACCAAGGCACTTTGAAGAGCCTTCGGAGAACGTGACTTTGAGCGACTTGTTGCTTTTGTATAGTAGAGTCGGCAGCTTTGCTTTATGCGAGACACCCATAAAGTAATGCTGGTTTAATTTAATATAATATACTATATTACATTTTATTAATTTGCGCTTTTATAAAACGCAAATAAACTCATTTGTTTCACTGCACAAATTAATTTATTAGCAATTCAGCTAACAAAGCAACTCAAATTAATTTTTAAAACCACAAAACTGAAATATTATGCAGCGAACAGATATTTTTATGTGAAGTGAATTTATTTCTTCCATTAGCTTTTAATTTTTACGAATTAAAATCCATTTTTATTTAAAATTTATAATAAATAAAGTATTTATTTATTTAATTATTTATTGCAGCACATTAAACATCAATTAAATTTCTAAATAAACTAAATAATACAAAAAAACTTTTATATACATTTATTTATAATTTATTATGATATAATCTAAAAATTAAGCTACCACACTTAAACACTTAAACAATATTGAGTATTTGCATATATGTACATATATATTTATATATAGATATATGCAATATATTCATATGAGATCAAGAGAATAAATACTAATTTTAAATTAGTTTCTTATGTACAGAAAATTCTTCTTTGAAGCAACCAATCAACATCAAATTTTATTTCCAACTGCAATTAAAGAGAAAAAAGTTAAATATTAATAAATATTTTTTTTTAAATATATTAAATATAATTAAAATAAATATATTTTTTAGCAGTATTGATAAATTATAATTTAATTATAATTTTAAAATAAAATATTTATAATTTATTATTATTAAATGTTTTTAAAAAAATTATTAAATTAAATTAAAATTAATTAAATATATAATGTGTGCGTACACACCTATAAAACTGATCCAAAGCATGATTCATAAATGAGAGAGTATCAGATAGTTTTGGAAGTTCTTTGGAGTTTAATACCATTTGTCTAACAAGGCACTTTGACTTTTCACCCGAAGCATTTACTTTTACCAGTGCGAAGAAACCACGCATCGTAACGCTAAAATTAAAAACAATAAAAATTAATTAGTAATTTAATATTTAATTAAGAAATTCTCAATAATTCTGAATGAAATGAATTCTCAAACAAAAAATTAAAACATTACTTATTATTAAATCATCTGCATAATCAACATACGAGTATAACTCACCTCACCGCACTGAAATAGTTGTTGCGCTCCATTGATATACACCGCCGGTAGGCAGCGCATATTTGAGCTGCATCTTTGGTGTACATTTCAGACTTCAATAGCACCATCATCCTCCTCAACATCCTCATCACTCGGTGGTGGGCAACTGCTATTATTATCAGTTCTTTCTGGTGGACTGCCAGGATTTAATTGTGGACTGGGCGAACGTCGTAATTCAGCGCTATTTCTTTGCTTATCGCTAATATCACTTTGTACCGGACTATGCGGTACATGTGTTGGTGGTAGGGTGTTATTATTAATTGTGGGATTTGATTGATAATAGCTGCTAAGTGACGATAACGAATTCGAAGCACTTAAATGTGAGATAGGAGTTGGTGCAATAGGCATGCCAGGTAGACCCGCCACTGGTACACTCGGGTACATACGATATGATAATGGTTTCTGTAGTGCTGCTGCAGCAGCCGCTTGTCTATAGTACAAGTCTATTGCAGATGGTGGAGCACCATGCGGGGATTGTGCTGCATATGGCCAAGCACTTAGATAGGGCGAACCACCATACAAACGTTGAAAAGCTGCATAATTTCCTGCCTCTGCCAGCAATTCTAAACCAACTGCTGTCTGACGCTTCCATTTTGTTCTAAAATAGAAAAATAGTAATAAATCATTATTATAAATATTTGCAGTTTATTGTAAAGACAGGAGATCTTTATCAGAGGTTTAGTGATATTAAAAAAAATAATGTTATTAATTAAAATCAACTATAAAGCTATTAAATATAAATTATTTATCGTTTTTTTTTTTGTTGCGTCATGCCTAGTCAGCAGTTTTTGTAAAATATTTAAATATTCATCACTCAACCCCATTGTCAAGTCGTTAAATTAAAAAAGAAGTCTCTTGATTTGACTGAAGTTTATTTCTCAAAACCTAAATTTGCACACACTTTTTAATTCGTTTTGGTTTACATTTCATTCAAATTTACTATAATAACTTCCACAAAAAAAAATAAAATATATGAGTGGTAGATCATATTTTTTGAGAACACTGTTTATATCCATTAAGTATAAAAAATGCATCCTGAAATTTACAGACTCCTCAGCAATGTGGGACATGTGCCGTTGTCAATGTTAATTCAAACATAATTAATCATTTTCAGTAGTCCTCTTACCTGAGCTAAAAAACCCAGTTGCTATATATGTTACAATTTTCTAAACTCTTAGCCCAGCTCATCAATGCTGATCCTTTGACAGTATATTAAAGAAATAATTGCTAAGTCATTCATGTCCTTTCGCCTTAATAATGCACGCGGCTTACTCGTTGCATTATTCTGGGATTTTGTTCTTTTTTCCTGATCATTTAAGAAAATAATTTGTGTTTATTTTTCGCACTTAATTGTTTTGTACTTTATCTTGCCGATCACTCCTACCAAAATTTGTTCTATTCATTGTTATTGTATGTCTTTAGATAGACAGGATATGAGACACCTCCTGCTGTTACTTTGTTAGGGACTGTTATTTTGTAATTGGCTTAGTGCATTTAAATGCATTTTTTCTTACAATTGTCAGGAAGCTGCTGTGCAATTCTTTCATTTAACATTATTTTTTTTCTAAATACTTAATCTTTAAATTAAAGAATTTTGTTTTAAACTAATTACTAAACGTTTTATTTTTTTTTTAAAATTTTCTGCAATAATTGTATTGTATGGCGCGCCATTCAAAAATCTTCTTGGCGCCAGCGAGGACGATTAAGACAGAGAAAAATGTTTTTTTCTTGTATGAATTTTTTTTGTATTTATTTATTCATATTATTACTTTAATAATAATATTTTGTATTCATTTGTATATATATTATATAAATAATATGCCACTCCAAATATAATTTTAATTTGAATTTCTACAATTTATACTGAATTGAATGGTGTGCAGACTTTAAATCTACCACACGCAGCAGCTGTGAAATTCATTAAGTAATTTTGTTATTTTTTTTTTTATTTTTGAAGATATTACAATTAAAAATGAAATTATTTTAATATCCGGTTTGAACACTTAAGTCCATAATACGTTTACATTGTGTAAAAATATGGCTATTAAAATTAAAAAGTAAACTTACAAGTCATTCGTCTTCAATTAAATGAAATGAAAGTAAATTTTAACGCCTTCTTGCTACTTTTTGCTTTTGGAAAATTCAAAAAATTCAGAAATTTATGGCATTTGGTCAAATTTTTTATCACTGAAAATTGGGGTTGAATTTACGTTTCAATAGTTAAACTTCTTAATAAAAACAAGTCCAACTCTGTTGAATAAGTAGCCATAAGCCACACAAATAGACCCATTCAAATAAATGGGTTTATTAGGGTGTTAACATAAATCTTAAAGTCAAATAATTTAAAGTACAATAAGCTTTTTTGCGATATTCTGAACATAATAATAGACTAGAAGTTACAAAATTTTGAGGAAAACACATCCTATTAGTCAAATATTTAATACTCGTAGCAGATCTGCTCAGTGATAACAGCTCTTATCAAAAATACCTTCTCAAGTTTTATGTTATACCGCATTTCAAATATTTAAAGATATAATTGTCTGTTATACTACTGCAGAAAAACGTTACGGAAATATTTTAGAGAACAATGCTTCTCTCTCACAAGACCTTTACAGCCTTCAACACCAACATTATTCTGAAAATTACTATAGCAAAGATTCTTTAGACATATTTGAGATTGGAAAAGCGACAGCCAATCTAAAACGTTGGCCCAGATAACATGACCCCGAACTGCTGATAGAAGACAAAAACTTAAACAGACCACATCCATTTTCATGCGACTCATTGACCACTCATTTATAAAAGTGTAACGATAATAAATCCATCGCAAAAGGTTAACATTAAGAGCAGCAAAAACTGCAGAGTTATAACGATGTTTTATTTTGAAAAATGGGTCAAACAGTGGTCAATCATGACCTACGCAATGAGCAAACAGGACTCAAGCCCCAACTGTCATACCCTCTTTATTAACAGTGTCTGAAGTATAGTCGAGCAAATAACACACCCCTTATATCTTATCTTAATCGACTTTCAACTTGGGTACCCGGACATGAGCGACATGAAGACAATGAAAAAGTGGACCTTTATGCCAAAAGAAGGAATAAAAGTGCTATTCATCGGTTCAACTCCCTTATTTGGCTTAAATAAAAAGAACATAAAACATGAGAGCACAAAATGGATCCAACAACAAATCACAGAATATTGGAATTACATTAACGGCGTAAATCACTCCAAAAAATTCTTGAATTTTGAAGCCAAAAGCGCAAACTTTATCCTCAATCTAAACAAGAATAGTCTTAAGTCACTCTCTGGTAAACTAACAGGCCACTCCACCTGCAAAAAACACCTATACGAAATGGGTACATCTAGCAAAAATATTTACAGATTCTACAGTGATGAGGAAGAGTCTATCTGACCACCAACTGTAATGTATTAGGCCACAGGAAACACAACATTCTAGCCGCATACCAACTAGATAATGAAGAACTTCCAAAGCTTCCTCCGATAGAGCTGATTCGTTTTCTCGCGATACTAAGCTTCTTAATACAATATATCAAGCTGGTCGCAGTGCATCAAGGCCTAAGTCTAAACCCAACGCATAAACCATTACATTACTTCGATTTTTAACAAATTTTCTGATGATTATTAAATTTTGTCATTTGGTCATTTGGTTGAATTTGCTACTTCCGCGAACAATTTTTTTTGGGTTTTGCTCACTTTGGAACACCCAAACAATGGATTGCTGTTTTGTTTCGGGCTTATAGGCGTAGATCCATGATTCGTTACCTATCATGATGTTATAGACGCATTTTGAGCTACATTGGCCGTGTTTTTTCAGCATTTCCTTGCACCAATATACACGTGCCTTCTTTTGAGCGATTGTTAAATTATGGGGAACTCAAGAGGAAGAAATCTTTCTAAAAGTTAAATGTATATATAAAATTGAAGGACGCCTCTATCTCCCAATGTGTAACATGCTGCTAAATTTGGATTTAATTCTACATAACAACACAGAGCGTTGTAATATATAAGTTTCTTAAATCAAACCTAATTAAATTATATGATTTTAAACAATTTAATTGTTTTATCATTTATTCAATGTATAACTTATAAGAAATCAACACATTTAAATCGATTACTTCAACTACTGGTTTCTTTTTTCATTCACTGAGTTACATATATGTAGAGATATCAAACACCAAATGACTAAGACATAATAAATTTAATTTTATTTTCACAATTTCAGGATATCACTTAGTCATATTTGTAATATTAAAGTAAGTTATACAATATATGAGATAACACCGCTATTTTAAATTATATGTACACATATTATGGTATATTAAATAATCTAGTGCCATAAATACTGCTTAACACTTTCAATGCTCTTTAAGTAAAATATTTTATTTGAATAAAATTTTTTATTGCTCTTATATCAATTTTAATTTATTTTCGTAATTAGTTTGAAATCAAAAGTGCCTCATAAAAAATCAATTTGAAGTGAAATTATTTAAATACAAAAGACTCAAGCAACAAACTTGTCTGCTACAATATTTTCTGACCAGCTTGCTGTTGCTGTGGTTATTGTTGTTGTTGTTTAATCAAACATTTAATCTTTATGTATATAAGTGACTATTAAGCAAAATACTGATGCTTGAATATTTGAAAAACATTAAATCTATAATCTCAATTAAAAAACGTACAAGCCCCGGTATCTTAATGCAAAAGCAAATTAAGAAATCGCATAAAAACAAAACGAATTAAAATTTTGCTTAATCGTTTAAGCAAGTAAATTCAAAAAATAATAAACATATAATAAAAAAAAATTTTTTTTTTAAAAAAATAAAAATAGTAAATAAAGTCATAAAAATTTATCAGTTGAAAATGTTGGAGTGCAATAAAACTGAGCAAAAAGCTATGCCTGCTAATCAATTTACAGCAGCTGCTGCAACAGAAATGGCATCGACATCGACAATAATCGCAGCAACCACAACAACAATAAGTACCAATAAAATGCAGAAAAATCGCTTAAAAATGCTAAATGCCTTGATTAAGCTTCACACAAAATGCAAAATGCAACAGCAGCAACTCTGGCAATACTTATAGTACCGGCAGCAGCAAATTAAAGCAAATAAACCAATTTGAGAAAAAAATTTATGGAAAAAAAAAATTAAATCAAAAATGCAAATAAACAAAACTTAAGTTGCTTGAGTAGGCAATAAAAAAGCTGAACTTCGCTTTAAGTGCAACTCAATCAATGCACATTAAAACGAATTTTACGATTTTGATGCTGAGCTGATCACACACTCAAATTATACCACATCAACATTTGCATCATTTGCAACATATGAAACATATGCAACATATTAGTGCCGCAAACGCTTTCCTCCAAAGAGTTACAATTGCTGTAAATTCACTGCTAAATAAGCTGTTCCAGAGGCATAAACACTCCAACTAACCAGCAAACGCAAACTGCATATGCCTAAACGCATTCATTTGCAGCATCCTGTCGTTTCTGGCGGAGACTTGCCAAGTGCCGGTTGTGGCTATAAAATAAAAAGTAGCAAATTTGAGAAACGCCAAACTTCGTCAAAATGCAACTGGAAAGCGGCAATTAAATGGCAAAAATTAACCAACACTTTGAGGCGGAAGCCATAAAAATTCTCCTCATTTGTATTGAATTATAAAAAAGTAAATTTTTCCATCCATTCAGTGAAATGTACGAATATATTTATGCGAATATTTCATTTAAAATAACGCATTAACACATTTGCCATAGAAGGAGAAATGACATCGGGATATCTAGTCTAAGAAATTATATGGCATAAGAATGCTACGTATTCGTCAATAATCATTCCATCTACTGATTAGTTAATACATGCTAGACCTAATCACAATAAAATATTGCATACTTTTTAATTTTTTTTAAAAATAATCTCTTTAACGAGATGTGACTTTTTGTCAGCGGGACACAGTGGCGTAGCTGGTTTTTTGAAAAAAGGAGAAACGTTAAATATATGTACTAAGTCATCTTATTGACAATATGTAACAGGCTATCCGTAGTTGGTATTTTGGAAAAAGGGAATGTTATATCTATTTAATGAATTATCTCAACGATAATAGGGAGGGCAATCCATGATGAGTACATGGGTGATGTTATTAAATATATGATATAGTTCATTATCATCGACTATATGTTAATGGCTATCCACAAAATCTGTAGTGATATAGGAAGTATTGCGAAAAGAAGGGTAGTGATGCAAATGGATTATATTTTCAATGAAGTATATTAGCAACGGAATGAATCTGACTATTCCACAAATATAGTGATGTATCCATAATTTTGAAAATAGAGGTTATTATTGGCATATATTGGCATAATTTTGAAGTTCTTGAGTTAGAAAAATTCTAAAAGAATTAGAATTGGAGGATAACACAGTTCTTGATTAGAAATACATCTTTTATGCTAACAAATAATTCTGACCGAACAGCAGTTATTCAGCCCAACGTTTAAAGACCACACTTTTTGGTTTAGCAGTTGCTATTAACAAAACAAGTGCAAACCTCTTGTAATAAAACTAGGTATATCATCTCGAAGGTGAATTTCAACAACAATCTCATTGTAAATCAATATTCAACAAAGGAATGGAAAACAGGATTTTTGTTAGATAATTTCAGCAGCACGATCTTCACGGAAGTTCCAACACGTATATTATTGTAAGTGAATATGATTAAAAGAGTTTCTTAACATTATAGACCTTTTAATAAAGGATTTTAAATATTCATATAAAGCACATGGAATATATAAAGCTAATAAATGCTTTTCTTCTACTGTACACCAAACATTATAGCTTTTATGCAGAAGTAAACAAAATATTTTTAGGCTGATGACATTTACTACAAATTCTTAGCCTATTGTAAAGCAAATAATCAAAGTAAGAATATTTTTATATATTTTATTGTCACAGTTACAAGTAAGTCTGCATTTCGGAATTAAAGAACAGTCATTATAGACAAACCACTCTCCAATAGTGTTAAGCAATCCTAGCAGGAAATGAACATTAGTAAACTTAGAGGTTCCAGTACGGATTCGATCTCACCGAAATGTCTACGCAGATAACCCAATAATCAGTTTATTAAACGTTTATTAAACATATGCATTGAATCCCTACTTCAACTAACCTACCAACCTACCAGAATATATATTTAAGATATTGTAAATTAATAGATAATTCATTGAAGTTATTACTGTTATCATTGCATGTCTAATTCGTCGCTAGGGGATCCACTTAGGCCTATTAGCCCATTATGTTACCGCATATAAACTTAGGGTTTAAAACCATCTAGAACCTCTGGCAAAGCTCAAAATGCTGTTTAGTGTCGAATCTTTTAATTGATTAAGATACACAAGAAGGGGGTTTCTAAAGTGTTGATTCGCCGCCGAGCATGAGCTGGGCAAAAAGAGAGTAGATGAGAGGTACTCTCATCGTTTTCCTCACAGCTTTTCCTAGTTTCCAATAACGTGTAAGTAAACCTACCATAAGACGAATAACCCTACAGGGCATATCAGTGAGAATATTGAATTTCCTTTTAATGGAAAATAGTCAGATTGCATACAAATGTCTACATATTGTTACCCTCCCATTTTTTATTAAAAGTTTCAACACAGAGAGAACTCAGTACCAATTTGCATGATAAATAATACTAAAAAATGACACTCTTTACCTAAAATACTAAAAACAATGTTTCCTAAGAATTCGGCTAATGGCAAAAGCTTAATATGATCCAAACAACGTAGCTCAGATTAATCTTAAATTCTAAACTAGATATACTACAGATAAGTACCATTTTTCAAAGATTATATTAAAAAACACCAACAGCAACCGACCTTTTCTCATCTTTTCTGCTCACTCCTACGATAAACAAGATTTTTTCCAATATATTCTTTAGTGTTCACAGAATTGTTGGATGTCTATAATTTTGTTGGCTTTATCTTATCAACAGTCTTAATTTGCTTAATAAATTCTGACTTATAGGAGAAGACTTACTCTACGAACACCACAATTTATCTCGTGTGTTGCGGTTCACTATTGTTTTTTCTAAGCGCCCCCTTCGTTACAAAAGTTAGGTACATTATTCTTCAGATTAATCATGCCTGTCGTGCCAGGATTTTGTTCTGACAGTCGACTTAAATCCAATAGGTACCACTCGATACAGTTTAAAGTACAACTGGAATTCATTGAGTTTCGCTTGCGGCACTCAACCAAAGGTGCATATCTGGTACCACGAAAATCGACGCCCATAGTCTTACCAATACTGATTGATCCTGTAACGGTAATATTGCGATGTTAGTGATTAAAACCTAATTTTTCAAGTAAAGAATGACTGTATTTATTTAATTTCACTCGATATGCAAATTCCAATTAGGGTGCTGTGATACAAAGAACGAAATTATATACAAACTTATAGCTACATTTGATACTGGGGGAGTACCTAAGAATACTAATGAGAGATTTATTTATGCACTACACCGGTACGATTGAAAGACTGCGGAATTAACTATTCGCGGCAAGTAATCACTTAAAAAAAACTCTTTGTTGGTAAAACAGCAATAAAAATTAACAAAACCCCAAGTTTGACTAAATCAAATCAAGTGTAGCGTTGGATCAGGTGACTTAAACATGAATTTATGTTTCAAATTTGTTGGATTTCATGTTCAACCCTTAGTACTTGCAGTTTAAAACTTGAATGAGAAAATTTAAATCCAAAAATCCATTAAAAAGCATTGGTGAGATGCGGTGACAGTACTCAAAACATCTAGTTCTTTATTAAATATATTACTAAATAAATTATTGATATAGTAAATGAGATAATTTATACATCATATTTCTTTTTTTATTTTTAACTAAAACAAATCAACACTGCAAAACTATTTACACCATTTATTGCTAGTCATTCTAGTGTTAAAATTTACTATTACTGCATAAGCAAGCAGAAAAGAAAAATTGCTTTACAACTTTTTTTACCGACAGTCAAATAGACAGACATCTTACTTAATATCTGCGTTCGATCAGATAGATTTGCAGATTTGCAGATTTGCATATTAAATTTTAGTTTGCGCATTCTTCTTTTTATTTTCTTTTTTACTCACTTTACTGCAAATTAAAGTTTAGTTTATAATCCGCTTTAATAACGCTTAACTCACCTGCGATTCTGATACCAGGTCTTCACTTGACAATCGCTCAGCTCCAATTTATTTGCTAATTCCATACGATCCTGTACGCTTAAGTATTTCTGACGTTCGAATGATTTTTCCAATGTTTGCAATTGATGATCGGTAAATGCGGTGCGTGCTTTGCGCTGCTTCTTACTTAAACCCATTAGATTGTCACTTTTAATGCTGTTGCCATCATCGTCTTTGGCACCTGCAGCAGCAGCAGCCATACGATACCGAGAAAAAATATATGAAACACAAAAATATATAAGATTTTTCTGTTTTTCTTTATTTGTTGTGTAAAATATGAGCAGCATTTAAGCGGATATTAAATTTAATTATTAAATTCAAATTCAAATTGCAAAATTACACACTAACGAAGTTGGGAAAAAAATTGACTCTTTGAATGGGAGATTGTCGTTGATTGTGTTTGACGTTGCAAGATGAAAGACTTAAGCTGGAAACTTGTTGCGCCAGAAAGACGCGTTTTTAAATGTAATGATGCGTAAATGTATGTCAAATTATAAAAAAATAAGTCAAATTATAAAAAAACCAAAAAAAAAAAAATGAAATTAAAAAGGTGTAATCAAATCGTTACTAAATAATAAATACAATGATATTGTTGCCAATAAGAAGCGCCAAAGGTTTTATTTCGCTGTTGTTAGTTGTGTTTCGTGGAGCGATTCATTTATTATCATGTGGAGAATATTATTATTATCTTCATTTAGTTATGTCTTTGCACAATCAACAACTTGAATAGAACATCTTTAGTTATATTAATTTAAGTATATTCTATTCAAACAAAGATATAAGCGAAATTGAATAAAATATATAAGCATAAAATATAAAAAATAAATATATATAATAATATATTAAATATAAATAAAATATAAAAACAAAAAGGTGTTACATTTGAATCTTTCCATTTCACTGAAAAAATCACTGCTATAAAAAGCCATTTTTTTCATAAAAAAGGCCTTGCTATGAAATGACCTTTCACTTCACTGCTATCAGCTTCAATTTAACTGATTTTATAAAATATAATATAATTACTATAATGGAAATTGTCATGGGGACATGTTAGCCCATATCCTCGTTTAGTAGTTTATCTAGACTACCATATAGAGAATTAGTAGTTTCTCAGTAATTGAAAGATGTATGTGTCGTTATGTTGAAGCTATTTGAGCCAGTGCACTTGAGCACTTTAACTCTCTCTTAACTCGAGGTTTCTTCATAACCCCTCTCTACGCCTTGACTGAATTAATGTTTATCACTTTATCAGACTAAGTAATAATTGACCTCAGATCTGCATACCTTTAAAAGTTGATTCAGTTTATATGGTGAAAATTCTAATCGCGATTCTATTATCTTCAACATACATACATTATCAAAATAGTTTAAAAATTAATCTAATTCCTAATTCAAGATTTTATTAATTTCATGTATCTTCTTATAGTGGAATTGCTGTCACACTTTCCTTTAGTTAACACTTTCATTAGAAGTGAATATAGTTTCATTTGCGATCATACTATTTATACTCAACTTGCCTGTAGAAGTTGATTCAGTTCATATAATGGAAATCCTATTCAGGCTTCTATTATCTTTAACATATTTCCTAATTAGAAGTTTATGTAAATACTACTTCAAAATTTCTCCGACTTTTTGTAGCTTCTCAGAGAGGAATTCCAATTTCCCGGCACACTACTCTTAAGTTCCCTCTTTGTTAAGAAGTTTATATTGTTTCGATTGTGAAACTGAATTCACGATCATGTAAATTCAGTTTTAGAGGTTGATTCAGTTCATGTAGTGGAAATTCTATTCGCGGTTTTACTATATTCAACACTCAGAAAAATATGCTCTAACCACATACTAGTTAAATTAACCTGATCAATTTATTAGAGAGATCTTAACTCATGTGATAAAGAAGATACATAAACCAACATGTGGTATAATGGTTGAACCAATATGATGCATTGATTAAGAATATTTTGACCTAAGATTTAGTTAAAATCTGGTTAAATCAACCAAATTATTTTTCTGAGTGAACATACTTCCTAGTTTAGCAGTTAATCTAAATTATACTTTAAGATTTCTCTGACTTCTTGTCGGAGAATGGAATTCCAACTTCCTGACGCAGTACTCTTAAGTTACCTCTTTAGGCAATTAATATAGTTTTAATTATGAAAGTCGTATTTTCGACGCTTTTAACGAACGCTTATGAGATATTATAATATCCATAGTAACAATTGTACTTGCAACATCACTACCCAGAAAAACCCCTTTCCGTTAAGAATTTGAAGAAGTTCATATAATGAAATTCGTACGTGCTACATTAAACTCCTCGCATTCTTCTTAGTTTAGAAGTTAATCTTGCTCTTTACACTTCAAATTTGTACTAGCAGATATACTAACATCAAGGCAATTCCTCGTTTATTAAATATTCTTTCTATTATGAACGTCTTTTTTACGACGCTGTTAGGTCCTACTTTTCTTCTCATTTATCAAATAACATAATCCAAAATCAAAATTTGTATTTGTAAAACCATTATCTAAAGTTCAGTTTCTACAGTTTCTTATAGCAGAAACCATACTTCCAGTACATCCAGATTTAGCTATTAAAATTAACGTCTATAGTTTCTCATAATGGAAATCCTGGGAAGATTTGTCATGTCTAGCTGCCAATAAATACCCCATCACCAAATCTCTAGTATCAATTGAAAAACATGTTTAGAAATAACTTCCTTCTTGGTAGAAAGGTATAGCTATTTAACACATCTGCGGTTCTGGGGAATGGAGTATCCAGTTGAAGAATGTAACTCTACATCGCATAATAAAAAACAAATACTGTTACTATACCCACGTACATTTGAAATCAACCACAGCCAATCCCATCAATTTGACCAATAAGCTAATCCTGCCTGGGCAAATGTGCCTATGTTCAAGCACTTCTCATTATTAATATAGATGCCGTTTAGGTAGATGAATGTTTTTGTAGAACTGACTTTTGCTTCGCATCCATACATTAATGTAAAGTTGATGCTATCACTGTTTTTTATGATACTTATTTTTACTACTTGTCAAAAAAATATATATAAAATCCATAGGGCATAGGCCCGCAACTTGTCAAAAATATATGGTATATGTTATAATCACGCACATTTTGGGAGATGTATTATCATGGACGAGAAACAAATGAATAATACTGGTTTAAATAGCGATTGCTCTAAAATTATAATTTGTTAACAATTTTGACAATCTATTGGTACCTATACACGGATGCCTCAAATTGCCGAAATTTGTCTTCTTTGATCAGTTCAAATAATCCGAAAACAACTGAAAGATACATGTACTGCCATTTGTAATGGTTTAGGTCGTCAATGATCAATCTTCGTCATTGCTTTTGGAGTGTTGTGTCAAAGTAAATATCAATGTTCAAAATTCTTTTGAAAAGTAAATATCAATGTTCAAAATATTTTTGAAAAGTGCTCTGGAGTCGAAGTAAAGAAACCAACTGTCTCAATGAAATTGACTTCTCTTCTTCTCAGTTTAATGCAAAGAAGAAGAAGCCAGTGGCGTAACTACAGGGAAGCGACTGGAAGCAACGCTTTCGAGCCCACGAATTTAGGGGGCCCCATTATAAATTTATGTATTCATTGTATTTATTTTTAATAAATTCTCAAAAGTGGGACGAAACGATTTGTGCTTCAATCCTCAATTTCTATCGGTGCTATATTTAAATCTGCATCTACTCCATATTGCAAAATAGTCCATTAACCATTAACATATACCAAATTTCAGTGGAGTATCTTTATTAAAAACGGAGAAACCCCATATCCGGTTGTTAAGTTTATATGGCAGCTATAAAATAGTAGTTTAATTTCAATCAAATCATATGGTGATCAGGGGCCGCTCCCAAAAAGTATGTGTGTAAAGTTTCATTCGAAGAGTTCAAAAGCTGAGAGAGTAGTTTGAACTGAAAAGGTATATATATACTTTACTGATATATACTTTATGGTATTTGCGACGTTTCCTTTAATGCGTTACGAAAATCTGGACAAACTTTATATACCCTTTTTACACTTTTTCGTGTAAAGGGTATAAAAAGATGTTAGTAGGGGCCCCTTAGTTAGTAGTTGCTTATAGGCCTAAAAAATGTAGTTACGCTACTGAAGAGAGCCCTTCTTCTTTCTTTGTGAATGAATGTAAACCTGGCAGATTCAAAATCGTGTAGCGCGCAAACTACCGCTATGTATACAATATATATTAATTATAATTTTTTGATTAACTAACAGATTTAATAAAAATGCTATTTGTTTTTAAAAAAAAAAAATCGTTTTCTAAAAATTCATGAACACGAAAAAGTGCAACAAGGTACGAGACAAAAATTTTCAATTTTCCGGAACATTTAAGCTGATGTTTATTGTATTACGAAATATAGTATTAATATATGCAGAGCGAAAATGTATCTCACAATAAACAGAATTCAGGCATTCCACTAAATAAAAACTTGGAGGTACTTTGTAATTAAACTATTTATGAACACGATGTAGGCTAACAAGCCAAAGGCTGCAATTGCACTTGCTGTGAATTTCATTAAAATAAATTACTCCACTTATTTGTATACATTGTAGTTGGGTTATATCCGCAGTTGAAATTGCAGTTGGAATTGAAGTTAATACCGCAAAAAATTGAAATTAAAAGAACAATAAGGAAACAACAAGTTTTCCGCAACATGCCACCAAAGCTTGTTGAATATTCAACAATTTTTATGTATTTATTTACTTCATAAGCGTTTTCTTCTGCTTATCTATTTTCTTATCAACAAATGTTATAATTATAATGTGTAATGTTAAAAGCATTGTTTTTTTTGCTTTAGCTGAGCTGCACTTAATAAAGCGTTTAAAACATTTCCTGAATAAACAATTCAACTCAACTGGATTTATGTCTGTCTAAAGCATAATTAATTAAATTCAACAAATGCTCAGTAAGTAAATTAGTGAAAAAGAAAATTAACGTTTAGTAAAGGCTCGTGTAGAGCATGAGATACTTTTTATGAATTTTTATCAAATCATTATTCACAATATAATTGATACTTGGTAAATCTAGAGTCATTTTTTCAATCAATATGCTCTTTTTATGCTCACTTATATCTCGAGCAAACTGTATAACACTCGAGATTAATTTATAACACTTCAGATATTATGCCAGGTA